AACATTAATGTTGTGCACTTTAACACTGTTAAGTTTAACATGATAAACCCACTTTAGACAGTATGAACTGTAACACAACAAACAGCTAGGCTTACAACTATGGAACATGAAGAGCATTTTGATTGACTATTACAAGCTGAGAAAACGTCAGATAACCATGTCAATGCAATTAACGTTATAACACCTGCTGAATAGATCTAATATTTACACATTTGCCCGAGGAGGAATGATGGGGGTAGTTACATTACTATTTTCCATAACAACTAGGCCCTTCCATAACATTATCTGACGACGTTAACAGATAGATAGCGCTAGCTATTTATTGATTAGCAAACCATGTTGTTATGCTAATTGTTAATGGTGATTATGGCGTTATCAGTCATCGTTCGGAAACAGCAAAATACTATCATTGACATCATCTTCACCGTAACATTACCTCTGTCTTTGTCGAGTTTTTCCTCCTCTTCTTTTCTTTTTTTCCTCCCCTGGGCACCAGACAGTTTGGGACGTTTTGACATGTTGAGCTTGTTGACCCATCAAAAAACGACCACGGTGTAGCAGGTAAAGTCGGATTATTTGGAAGAGAGGGGAGGCGTCTTAGGCAAGTAGAAATTGTGTCTACTGCTGAGACCTTTGGGCTCCACCTTGTGGTAGCAAATTCAAAAGCATTACATACTTATGTCCAGTTACAGTTTTTTTTGCAACTGTTCACCCACATCTCTCTCTAAAAAGTTCCCCTTTTCAAAATGGCTGACATGAACAGCACAACAGCTGTCAAAGTACACTCAAGTTTAGATATCATTTAAATGCTGTAAAACAAAAAACATTCAATGACCACATCTTTCAGATTTTATAAACTGTTTCCTTAAACTCACTCACTGCCAGACCTTTACAACCAAGACTGCATTTAAAGTCTGTTTTGCATGTTTACATACTACGTTAAAAACTGTAACACAGATTTACTGTAAATTACATTCTGGTACATCTAAACTAAATGAGCCCAGAGAGGAATTGCTTACTTAATGGAGGTAGCAACAGAATAACCATCTTCCACATGATCACACGTCTCTGCTGGACACAATAAATGTAGTCAGTGTTATGATACAGAAACTGATACTAGTCTGCTTTGGGGTGTAAAATCAAATCAACATTGTGGTATGATGTCCCAATAAACATTTTCTAGCTAACAAAGTCTGTTTTCATTCAGTGAAAACAAAGAAGAAAACAGAAGTGTGTGCTTGTAAAAGCCTATTTAATTATTTTCTTAAAAATAAACCATGTAAAGATAAGTCAACAAGAAAAAACAGTAAAGCAATAACTATTCCTCCCACAAGGACACATATTTTAAGATAACTGTGCTAAATAAGGAATTAAGGGAACTTTCATTAATGAATTCAATGTTAAAATTGAACAGAGAAGAAAAATGTACAGAATATCATATATTTGAAATCTGTTCAATGTCATTCAATGCCAAATGTAAATCTGAAGAAAATCCAGTTCTGAATCGACTCCAACCGCAGGAAACGATCAACATACAGTCTTCAGAGTAAGAAACAAAGCAGTCATCTTCATTATGAGGTGTCCATTGGAGGTGCTTCTGAAATGGAAGGAGGAAAAAAAAGCCATCTTGATTTTCCACAATGTTTCAACATGTTGTAACTCATTGTTTTATAAAATACACTCATCTGTATTGCACTCTACTGCTGTACAATTTTATTTTATTCTTTTATCTGATGTAACATGATGGGAGAGCTGACTCTGCTACTGAGCCTTGCTGAGTTCAATTGTTTTTTTCTTTTGTATTTCTTCTTGTAGTGCCTCTCTTCTCTGTTACTACTACCAACCACTGATGACACCATGATGGAGAACAGCTTTAGTAGGCCTGTGAAAATTCTGTTGTAATGACAGCATCAGAAGACAGCAGGATCCCCCGGGTAACACCCTGTTTCAGTATTTTGATGTATTATTGGACTTCGATTGAGACTGAACTTCTGCTTGTGTGAATGTAGCAACATGGTGAACTGCTGCTATGTGGAAACTAGAGATGTCCCAGTCTGATGCCAAGTATCCATATGGACACCAATCCAGGCATATTTCATAGGATCGGTATTGGTCAGAATAAAGCCAAAGCAATCTGAGCTTTATTTAGAACTACAGTCCTGTATTTGAACAGACTCTATCACATTTTTGAGATGCACAAGTCATGAATAATCTGTCCAGCTGTCTACACTGCTGGCATGTGGGCTGGCACCTGAAGACTATTTTAGCTTCAGGTCTATTTTTTCAGAGCTACACGTGTAAACCGCTTCCCAGAATACACCAAAACAATGAAAGCTCACTAGTTCTAACCAGAACTCCACCAAAATAGAGAAATACAACAAACAAAAACAGTTAAAACACATGATCTATCAGCTAGATACAGGCTGCTGTACATATGCAAGTGTAGCCAGTAATTCCCTCGTTGTCTGTTATTTGTCGCAGTACTGGACCATAGTTTTTCCTTATCCAAAGAGTTTCTGTAGCTCCTTTGTGTGTTTTTGTACACTAAGCGCTTCCTATGTGAGAGTAAACATGAGCCCAGTACAGATGGCAAATGGTCTTATACTTGTATAGCACTTTTCTACGCTTTACAGCACACTCAAAGCACTTTCACACTATTCGGCCATTCACCCATTCGCACTCCCAAACACTCACACATTCACACACCAGTGACATCATCGGGAGCAACTGGGGGTTCAGTGTCTTGCTCAAGGACACTTCGACATGTTGACTGGACAAGCTGGGAACCAAATCGCTAATCCCCCGGTTAGGAAACGACCCGCTCTACCTCCTGAGCCACAGCCGCCCCAGATACAGGCGCAAGCCTCCCACGATGTGCACATGAGATGTTACCTACTCACCCACAAGCACTCAGACATTCACACACCGGTGATATCACCGGAAGCAACAAGGGGTTCAGTGCTGTTCTCAAGGACACTTCAACATGTGGACAGGAGAAGCTAAGAATTTACAAGCCAGACCTCAGGATAGAAGATGACCACTCTATCTCCTGAGCTGCAGCTGTCCCACTGTGTTCACATACTGTTATGAAATAGTGGTTAGTATCTGACCTGTAATGAATCTGCAGTTATGACTGTGTTGTCCACCTCCAAGTTGCTCTTTTATTCATCTCAGTAAACTAAGATAATAAACTTAATGTTTAGGAACCAGGACCTGATCCAGTATTTAGATCAAGAAGCTCCTGAAAAATACAGCGTGCCATATTAATTTCAATTTGTCTGATATTTAATGAACATTTACTGTATGAAACTATAAGTATCAGAGCTAATCAGGAGATACTTAATATTAAAGGAACTGAATCTGTATCAGGGCCAAATAAGCTGGATCAAGACATCCCAAGTGGAAACCAAAACACATTTACTGTGCCACTACCAGAAACAGAGGATGGACAGGAAACCCACGTGTTTCATTGAAGAGGAAGGAATCCTGATACTCCTTCATGTACTGAGAGGATCTGGCCTCATCCAGGAACAGAGAATAAACCCTTTTAATGTCCTCCACCTGAACTTCTGTCCCCTGAAAAAGCCAAAGCATGTAGATGAGGATACAGATGATAGAGGAAATCATAATATTTACAGCAATAAACCTTTGTTCAGAGTGAGCTTACTTTGCGTTTGCGACACACCAGTCCTGCAGTGCTGATCAGCTGGATGGCATAGCGCAGCGACGTCTCCATGCCAATGCGAGTCAGGACAGTGTGAGCTTCCTCGCTCAGCTCCACATCCTCCTCCTCACACCTGACATCAAAACCATGCAGATTTACTTAATTTCTCCACCAGCAGGCAAAAAAAACAAACAATGCTTGCTGATGGATGATCAGTGCCGATTCTAACCGGATCTTGATGATCTGCCTCGTCTCTTTTTCAGTGTAAGGGGAGGTGGCAATGATGAGCAGGCGATCGAGCAAGTCGATGGGGATGCCATGAGGACTCTGGTAGTTTGTGCCACGAATGCTGATAGGGGCGACATTCGGGGCCAGTATTTGACAAGTTACAAGTGACACATCAAAAATAACTAACATCATTTTTTTTAAATTAAGCTTATATAGATTTGTCTGTTTACTTAACCACTTTTTTAGATCATTCTTACTGTTTCTTTTTGATCCAAAGTGAACAGTATGAAAGGAAAGGCCAGAGAACTAAAAAATTCATTCTTATTCAAAGAATTTTTAACACCCAGTCAATATTTTTAAGATAACTCAGATGAGATGGAAGGAAGAGGCAGGCATGAACAATACCGTGTGATGCCTCTGTTGGTGGCCATAATGAGGACTGGGGAAAGGTCACTCTCCAGGGCACGGTTCAGGAAGGAAAAGCACTCCATGTCCAGCATATGGACCTCATCAATAAATAACACCTGGAGCCACAGACATGGAAAGCCATTTGAGTACACCCACACAGACACAGGCAAATACAAACAGATACACAGAGTTGAACCTACCCCTGGAATGATCTCTGCCTTGCCCTCTTCCCTCCACTCACAGACTTTAGCGTTAATCTGCTCACGGACTTCAGACTTGATCTCTCCGGTGTCTCCAGAGAAGAGAGCGAGGAAGCCTTGTGTACGGCTGTTGATGACGTCAATCTCATGAAGGGACACTGTGTGGACCACCTCTTTCCTCTTCTGCAGTTCTCCCTCTGGACACTGTACAAACTGTGTCTATAAAGAAAATAAAAACAAAATACATTTCAGTTGTCCCAATAAATAACCCACTATTCAGCAAACACAGTAGTGTTGTATTAAACAATAATTTTCAGTTAGGTTGTAGCTAATGGATGTAGTGAATGGCCAAACACAAACAGCTGCTGAGTAAAAAGCTACAAATCGTGATCATATCCACTGTGATTTCCACATAAATTGTCATTCTTGTCAAAACTTTTTAAACATAATCCATCCATTCATTTAGAATGAAAATCTGTTTGGGAGTCTGAGTTACTGTATAGCAGTGGGATTTTATTGATGCAACAGCATACCTGAGCTCCCATGGCGTCATAGTCTCTGGCTCTGGTGAAGGAGCGGCCCAGCTTACTGATCTTTCCAGTGGCTTTGTCAATCGTAATAATATCTCTGAAAGAAAACAGAGAAACACAGCTAAGATCACATCCAACAGGCCTGAGTGATACATAAGTATAATACATCAAAATGACAGATCATCGAATTAAACTTACCCTGCTTGAACCTTCTCTTTGCTGAGACTGTCAATCATCTTATTGCCCAAATCATATATTGTCTCCATCTCAGTAGTCTTTAGAGTCAGCTTGCCTACCTTAGCACCCTGAGAGAAGGCAAAGTATTATCAGTAATTGGATAATCCAGGAGGGTTATTTTTAAGTAAAACAAAGCAAAGTATTTATGAAGTTATTCAAATATTTTCCAAAGCAGGCATGAAAATTTTAATTAAATAAATTATGAGTGTATTTATGTCAGTGTAAGCAGCATACCGTTCCAGTAGCTGGTCTATCAATCTGGATTTCCACCACTTCTCCTTCAATAATCTCTGTTTCTTCTCTGTAAAAAATAAATCCAGTGAACAGCATTGCATTGTTATTATTGTTAACTGTTTATATTTACTGTGCGGGTGTGTGCACTTACTTGATCCGCACCCCAATGGCTTTCCTAAAAGCCTGGCTGAGTGCCTCAGTCTTGCTCATCTCCAGGGAGAAGATCTCACTACCAGCCAATGCTGTGAAGGGTGTATCAGGGCCAAGAGACTGGGCAATGCCTGTATTAAAAAAAAAGATTGAACCTCTACTCCAACAGTCAATCTGGGAGCAGGAACTCTTGCTTTGACAAAAAAAAATAACTTAAGCCAAATGCACATCAACAAAGACCAACAAATATCACTTTCAGAGGAGGAGGATGAAATGACACTGTTCTGGAAAGCCTCCAATGTGGCCCTTACCCATAGCAATGGCAGTCTTTCCTGTACCAGGTTGGCCAGCGATCAGCACTGCTCTGCCAGCGATGTGGCCATCTTTGATCATCTCCAAAATGACCCCTGCTGCCCGACGGGAGGCCAGCTGCCCTACCATCCCCTGAGACACCTGCCAGTGGACAGAAACATCCTTCAAGACAGGTTCAACACATATTAATGCACATCACTCTATGCTGCAATCCTACCCAGCTGGTGAAGTCACAGCATTTATGCTTCCTATGCTGAGCTAGTCTAACAATTACCTCACATACACTAGAATTCAAATAACCAAGAGGTCCTTATAATGTTACTGCAACTAAAGAGGGAACAGGTCCTACAGCTACATATTATAGACTATTAAGACATAAAGCTACCTGTCTTGGCTCCAAAGCATCGTCCAAACCCAGGCCACGGATGTGAGAATGTGCACCTGAACACGAGACGAATCTCAACACATTAGGATTAACCCCACTTGGAAGACCAGGTACCACTTGTATTGTACATTAGGGCTCACATATTCTAAAATATATAAAGCTATCATTAATTTGCATCCATAAACAGGTGAACAGTGTAAATACTGATTCTTACCAATCCTTTCAATCCGTGTGATGTCACGAACCTCTGGTACCTTTGTAGTCGCCATCTGGGTTAAGGAATAAGCAGACAACACAAGTGTCCTGAATGAACAAATGAATGAATGAATACTACTCCAAGCCTTTCTACGTTCCATGACCTTAATTATAAAAGATACATAGCGAGCCAAACGACCCCTAATATTATGATCTCCATTTTGCACAGGCAGCCAAATGCTAATAAACCCCGTTCACAACATGTGGCCAGTCTACCTCAACAACAATATCAATCTAGGGTCATAAGGATTTCTGGCTTTTTACTTACATTTTCAAATTTTAGTTTACAATGAACCAAATGCTTAAGAATTTCATTATAGGAGTACTTTTATTTTTTACATGCTTGAAATAAACTAAACTAAACTTCGGAAGAGGGAGATTTTCATACGCACGTACTAATTTTCATTGATGTTCCCGTTTATTCGAAACAGCGTCAGGTTTCACTCCCAGTCTAAATGCTAATATTAAGGAGAAGCTAAATAAGACAAACAAACTATAGTTTGACCTGTCCAGTCGGTTGTCATAGTGACAGTGGTAATGCATGACTCAACACTTGAGCGCCTCCCTTATATTAGCCATATATTAGCCACAAGTGTTAAAAATAAAAAGAATTTTAATACTTGTGGTCTTATACGTCCAAATAACCGCTGAACTGTCGACAAACTCAGCTTCAGTTAATGATATGAGAAAGCCACAGTCTAACCTGCTATCTTCTCTCCAGCGGTACGTGTGGTCATGTTAGGGAACTAGCTAGCCCCATTCATAGGTTTCTGTCTTCTGTAACTACTGTTATAACCCGCTGAACATGTAATGCTAGAGCCAATAGGAGCTATTTAACTTACAAAACACTTGTATTAATATAAAAACGTAAAATATCAATCACTACACTATGTATTAAACTGAGGGTATGAAATATACACCTACCTGTGCAGAACCACTTCCAAAACGTGAAAATGCGGCGCTGTTTTCTGAACGTGCGCAGGATAAATGTGTCCGGACAGAAACAAGTATTTTCCTGTATAAGTGTAAAGCTGACTGCCCTCTGTAGACATGGCGGTAAAGAAAAATAAAGGGATCGAAACTTCATTCTCGACATTAAAAGGAATGCAAATTAATGATGGGTACAGTCATGAATTCAGAATTATCTGTTGTAGAGTCCGTATGTTTACATTTGTTACGTGCACTTAGACTTAAGTCTAAAAATTATAACGTTACTAAAACTGTAACGTTAAATTAAAAGTATTTATCATTTCATTAACGTTAGACTGTTTAGTGTATGTCCCACTCTGGTTCTCCAAAGAAGGTCGAATTTAATCAAAAACTGCATGAAACGTCTTCTTTACTACGTCCCCAACTATCAGCTTTAGTATGCACTGCACGCATTTGTCCACTAGAGGTAGCAAGGCTGAAAAGTAATTTTACAGTTTTTAACATTTGGAGGTAGAGCAACTACAGCACGCCAAACTTACAGCAAATGTGCGCTGATAACTACATACCAGAAAAACACACGTGGGACCAGTGTTCATCAGTGTTGGGCATTATGCCAGCAGTTACCTACAACCTTTTATGTACTTGTTGTCACCAGCTTTCTGTGTATAAAAGTCAAATAATACATAATAACAATATATTGGTCTATTAGATTTTGTCAAATACACATTTATATATTTGTATAAGAACTAAAATCACAAATCTATTGATTTGATTTCAGGACACGGAGAACACTTTTTTAGAACACTATTTTAGAAAACATGTAATCCAAAGATACAATATTACTGAATAGTGGCAAAGGATTCCTTCAAAGTTTTTCCTTAAAGCTGAAGTTTTAGGATTCCACAGTCTAATACTAAAAGCAGCGAGGGATTCAAAGGATCTCTTGTCATTATAACCAGTTGTGATGTTTCACTGGCATGTGTTGGAATGAAACCCGTGCTCTGTAAATAGTCAGACTTCTAAAATGTTTCTCAATAAAGAGATTATAGCCATGAGCTTGAGTTTCATATAGTTTTATCTGCTACAGTTGGAACTCAGACATTTTAACAAACAAATTTTGTGAATAAAAAAGCCCATGTCTTATGCTGCCAGAAGCCAGACTTTTAATGAATAACTAGATGAGAGAGAGCTTTAGTGTAAGACTGGAAAATACCTCAGTTTAGCATACCACAAACACTTGATGCAGCTGCTGCTAGAGTATCGAGCATGTGTAAACTCAGGAGCTCTCAGTTTCACCTCACCCATTCTTTACAGTTCTTTTCAAACCTCTCAGACTCCCAGAAAACCAACACTGCTGTTTACACTCAAAGCATTAGTCACACTGGCTGCACAAACACACTGTCTCATTCTCATTTGTGTCAGAAGTTGATCCATTTTATTTTCTTATATTAGTTTATTTCTTTGAATGATGATGGTAACTGTAATGCAAACTGTTTTAAAATATTCTTCAGACACTGTATGTGTGGTTTCTAATTTTACAGACCAGGAAGCTTGTTACTGTTAGTGAAAAGCTACCATTAGTTTTTCTGACATTTCTGATTGTCCTCAGTTTTTTGAAAGCATGCCCTGAATCAGAATTTTTCCCTTATTAAATAATAGTGAAGGAATGACTGAAAACAGAGATTAGCATGGGGAGTAAGCATCAAGATGTCTTTGAGAAAGAGGAAATAAAAGGTAAAATATCACAGTTTATCGTTATTATAAAATATTTATTGTTGAAAATGATGTTTAAAAAGTTTAAAAAAGTGTATCGTCAGCCTTCCAAAAATTATCATCACATATTTCAATCAGGTATACATCACTGTAAACAACATTTTAAATGCTCATTCACAATAAACATTGCTTATAGATTATAGATTCTTTTTATCTTACATTTCACATATGTTTATTTGCAGAATATTCACAGCAATCAAAAACAGTTTCCTAATATTCACTGTATAAAGTTTAGGCTAAAAAAACAGCATATCCATTTTTGTAAAGGAAATACAACATGTCATCACAGAATATTACTTTTTTGCTTTGTCAATTCATAACAAAACTAAGTAATTGTTATACATTGATTATTTGAAGTGTGTCATTTAATTACAACTGGACGATGGTGATGGCCGATTCATACCAAACCCAGAAGCCTGGATAGACAGCTTCACTAAACGAGGCCTTGAAGCGGTGGATGAGAGACATGCTATTCCCCACAGTGTAGAAAGAGAGGGTACCCCCAGCATGGTCCAGGAACACCCCTATGCGGGAGGAGTAGGGTACATTGATCTCTTTCTGGTCCTTGTTGTGGCGGGCTGAGTAGCTGGAATCAGAGCAGAACAGGCTCCAGGACTTGCGGTTGTAGCCGATGCGGCAGGCAACCTCCTAAACCGGCCCCCTTTGTAGGTGACTCCAATGGCAGCCCCTTCCCCACTCCATTCAACCTCCCAGTAGTAGGCACTTCCAGAAAGGGGTTCCTTACACAGGACCTGGGGGAGGGAGTCAAATCTGGCAGAGTTGTCAGGGTAGGACTGAGGTTCTCTCTTGAGGGCAGCTTTTCTGTTTCCCCGAGACAAGTAGAGTTGTCTGTAAGCTGTGTTAGGGTCCAGAGTAAGCTGACAAGCATCTAGGAAGAGACAGAAGATACATGGACCATTTACTTAATAAGGGAAAGTATTTAACTTAAATTGCTTAAGATAAATGTAAATCACAAAACCCAAGGCAACAGACAAAGTCTCTTGTTTCACATCTACTAAAGCACCCCTCACCTTTGCACCACCATCTGCAAGGTTTCAGATGTTAGCAGCATTTCTGATTGTGTTAGATGTTTAACTAACATCTGCAATAAAATGACCTGAAGGAAAGGTGGGAGACCTTCTGGCTGAGTACACAGAAATCAGAATAATCACCTGCCTGCTGTGTACCTCCCCCTCTGCAGGTCACAGTTGGGACACCCGGTGGACTCGACTAGATCTGCCCAGCCTATTATCTGGAATGCCAGAGGTATCAACACTGCTTGTGAGTTTGACCACAAACAGTTCATCTAATAAAGAGCATCTGTAACTGTAAGGTGACACCCACAGCATCTTCTCCAGTGGTTTGAAAGACTATGTTATAATTGAAGCTTCAGATTCTTAGTCTCTAAGATTAGGTATACAGAGGCTAACAGAATATTTTTATGATATTAGAATTTAAATCCTCTTGCAATTTTTTCTTTTTTTTTTGTTTTGTTTTGTTTTGTCTGACAGGTTAACAAACATGAACTTTTTCATGCACTTAGTAAAAATTAAGATGAAATTTAAGAATCACAAAGTTGTGCAAATGCCAGCTAATATATATTTATAATCAGTCAATTCCGGTCTCTCTCAACACAGTAGGACATACAGCAGTTACTAACATCAGATTTTGTGGTCAGGCACAGGGTGAAATGAACACTAAAGAGCACTGAACTGCAGAAAAGCTGAGACTCACATCTCAGGAAATCTTCCCTTTTCTGAGGTTCTTGGACCTGGTAGGTTGCTGGTACAGACTTGTACACGGGAGCTTCTTCACCTGTGCAAGGAAATATATACATATACTGTATATCAGTTTGGTGATATTATATAGAATTGCCCTATATTACATCAGAAAATTCATCAGCAGAATATATTTGTTATCCCTATGACTGATAATGAAGACTGGTATAATGTGATTGGTGTTCATACAGTATTCTTGCTATAGTAACTCAGATGAAGGTCACATTATCAATGAAACTGATCTTAACTGTCCAAGATCATGTAAACTGATTTCCCTATCAGGGCATGTTCATGTAAACCCAATTCCTAAAAGTAAACATTTAACTGTGTGAGTGACCTTGGGCTGCCCTATAATGAAAACCATGCCCAGGCCAAGGCCAAACAGCAAACAAGACTGCACAAACTCTACTGAGTACAAAGGATATTGTAAATCTCACTGACTGGTCAGATTATTCTAAATTTCAAATTTCAAATTGTATAATTTCTAAATACTTTAGCTACACTAAGTGGGTCTTTGTAATAGTATTACTACATCGCCAATTTGTGAAGTTGGGTGAACATCAGTCGAGTGAAATGGATATTGTATGTGGGGTGCCTCAAGGTTCAGTCTTGGGACCGAAATTATTCATATTATACATTAACGATATGTGCAAGGTTTCGGCTTTTGTGAAAATGGTCTTATTTGCCGATGACACTACGATATGGGCATCAGGGGATAACCCACAGCAACTATCGGGACAAGTTTCACAGGAACTTGAGAAGATAAA